TTCCAGGTCTCTCTTGTAATTGAGTCCCCGAGGCTCAGTGGGATTAATCTGTATAAATAAAGGAATGGAACACGCATCAAAAGCCAATGAGGATTTCAGTGTTTTGCCCAGGGAAACTTCAGCATGTGACTGCTGGTAAAATCAAACCTCCAGCTCTCCCATTGAAGGACAACCGCTCTAACCACTCAGCCACAGCTGCCCCATGATGAAGGGGTTCAGGTGCTGAAGTGCAGTCCAGACCTCACTAACTGAAAATCTTTGATGTACTGTATTTCTTAAAAATGTTTACTTTAAACATTTGATGTTTACTATATTTACAGTGAATATGGATTTATGATCTGCAAACTGCTTTTTTTGTACATTTTATATGACCCAAATTAATTTAAATTGGCGTTGTAATTTATTTGCGTTTAGTAACCATATTCTTGCCTCAGAATGAAATCTTTTTTTGTTTCATTAGCGTTAGCAGATTAAGAACTACATGTAGATAATAACAGATCTCTGACATCACCAAAAAAAAGCACCTCCAAGAAAAGACTCTTAATTTCAAGACTAAACTGAGTATAATGAAACAAAGCCATCTTCTTTCTGCTTTTCCCTCTTCAGGGGTCGCCACAGCAAGTCATCCTCCTCCACCTCACTCTGTCCTCTGCATCCTCTGTCCTCACTCCAACTACCTCCATGTCCTCTCTAAATGCATCCATACTGTATATCTTCACTTTGGTCTTCCTCTTTTTATTTTTCCTGGCAACTGCATTTCTATCATCCTTCTACCAATATACCCACGGTCCCTCCTCTTGACATGTTCAAACCATCTCAATCTGCCCTCTCTAACTTTATCTCCCAGCTGTTCAACCTGTGCTGTACCTCTGTTGATCTCATTCCTAATCTTATCCAGGCTTGTCACTCCTAAGGAGAATCTCAACATCTTAATTTCTGCTACTTCCAGTTCTTTCTCCTGTCTTTTTGTCAATGCCACTCTTTCTCCAGACCACACAACATAGCTAGTCTCACCAATGTCCTGTAAACTTTTCCTTTGACCTTTGCTGACACCTTTTTGTCACAAATCACTCTGGAAACTTTTTTCCATTCACTCCATCCTGCCTGGACTCTCTTTTCCCCTCTTTACGATACTCTCCATTTTCCTGGACAATGGACTCCAAGTATTTTAAGTCCTGCACCTTTGTGACCTCTGCTCATTGTAGCCTCACTGTTCCACCAGCCTCCCTCTCATTCACACACATGGACTCTGTCTTACTATGGCTGACTTTCATTCCTCTTCTTTCAAGTGAATACCTCCACCTCTCCAAGCTCTCTTCCACCTGTTTCCTATTCTCACCACAGATCACGTCATCTGCAAACATCATCGTCCACGGGGATTTCTGCCTGACCTCATGTGTTAGTCGGTCCATCACCAAAGCAAACAAGAAGGGGCTCAGAGCTGATCCTTGATGCACTCCCACCTCCACCTTGAAGCTATCTGTCACTCCTACAGCACATCTCACCACTGTCCTGCTGTTCTCATACATGTCCTGTACCAGTCTAACATACTTTTCTGCCACTCCATATTTCCTCATGCAATACCACACCTCCTCCCTCAGCACTCTGTCATATGCTTTTTCTAAATCCACAAAGACACAGAGGAGTTCTTTCTGACCCTCTCTGTACTTCTCCGTCAGCATTCTCAAAGCAAAGATGGCATCTGTGGTGCTCTTTCTTGGTATGAAACCATACTGCTGCTCACAGATAGTCATCTCTTGTCTAAGTCTTGCTTCCACAATTCTTTCCCAGATCTTCGTGTGGCTCATCAACTTAATTCCCCTGTAGTTGCTACAACTCTGTAAATCACCCTTGTTCTTAAAAATGGGCACCTCAGGTATTTTCTCACCCTCATATATGCCACTGAATATTTCGGTGAAAAACCTCACTGCCATCTCTCCAAGACATTTCCAAACCTCCAATGGTATGTCATCAGGTCCTACTGCCTTCCCTTCTTCATTCTTTTCAGAGCTTTCTGGACTTCACCCTCACTAATCTTTCCAACTTCCTGGTCCACAGTTTCTATGACCTCTACTCTTTTTTTTCTTTAATTCTCTTCATTCATTAGCTCTTCAAAGTACTCCTTCCATCTTCCCATCATACTCTCCTCACTTGTTAGAACATTAACATTCCTATCTTTAACAACCCTAATTTGCTACACATCCTTTCCAGCCTGATCCCTGTCTTGCCAATCGGTACTCCTTCTCACCCTCTTTAGTGTCCAGTCTCCCATACAACTCATCATATGCCTTCTGTTTTGCCTTGCGACCTCCCTCTTTGCTCTATGTTGCATCTCCTTAAATTCCTGTCTCCTCTCTTCAGTCCTCTCACTGTCATATTTCTTCTTGGCTAACCATTCTTTGAACAGCTTCCTGCACTTCACTATTCCACCACCAGGTTTTCTTATCCTTCATTATGTCCAGATGACACACCAAGTACCTTCCTATCTAATTACTGTTGCTGTAGTAGCCCAGCCTTTTGGAAGCTCTTTTTTTTTTTTTACCACCCAGAGCCTTTAACAGCTCCTCTCTGAATTTCTCACATTCTTCCTTCTTCACTTCCACCATTTGGTCTTCTTCTCTGATTTGACTTTTTCTATTCTGTTGTGAACAACAGTCATTCTACACACAACCTGATGCTGTCTGGCCACGCTCTCCCCTGCTACAACCCTAGTCCCAAATCTCCCTCAGGTTTCCTCTTCCACACAGAATGTAGTCACCTGCATATTCCTTCCTCCTCTCTTATAGGTCACTCTGTGTTCCTCCCTCTTAGGGAAATAGGTGTTAACAGCCATTTACATTCTCTTGTCAAAATCCACAATATAATAAACCAAATATAATGAACCAAAGTAAACTGCCTAATGTAAATGTTTTAATGAGAAAACACGTCATCTCAAATTTGTCCAAGTGATATTTGGATGTTTGTTCAAATCAGTTAGAATATTTGTTAATGTATGTACAGGTCCTTCTCAAAAAATTAGCATATTGTGATAAAGGTCATTATTTTCCATAATGTAATGATAAAAATGAAACTTTCATATATTTCAGATTCATTGCACACCAACTGAAATATTTCAGGTCTTTAATTGTTTTAATACTTATGATTATGGCATACAGCTCATGAAAACCCAAAATGTCTGTCCCAAAAAATTAGCATATCATGAAAAGGTTCTCTAAACAAGCTATTAACCTAACCATCTGGATCAACGACGTAACTCTAAACACCTGCAAAAGATTCCTGAGGCTTTTAAAAACTCCCAGCCTTGTTCATTACTCAAAACCGCAATCATGGGTAAGACTGCCGACCTGACTGCTGTCCAGAAGGCCATCATTGACACCCTCAAGCAAGAGGGTAAGACACAGAAAGAAATTGCTGAATGAATAGGCTGTTCCCAGAGTGCTGTATCAAGGCACCTCAGTGGGAAGTCTGTGGGAAGGGAAAAGTGTGGCAGAAAACGCTGCACAACGAGAAGAGGTGACGGGACCCTTAGGAGGATTGTGGAGAAGGGCCAATTCCAGACCTTGGAGGACCTGCAGAAGCAGTGGACTGAGTCTGGAGTAGAAACATCCAGAGCCACCGTGCACAGGCGTGTGCAGGAAATGGGCTACAGGTGCCGCATTCCCCAGGTCAAGCCACTCTTGAACAAAAGACTGCGTCAGAAGCATCTCACCTGGGACTGCTGCTGAGTGGTCCAAAGTTATGTTCTCTGATTACAGTAAATTTTGCATTTCCTTTGAAAATCAAGGTCCCAGAGTCTGGAGGAAGAGAGGAAACACAGAATTCACATTGCTTGAGGTCCAGTGTCAAGTTTCCACAGTCACTGGGGTGTCATGTCATCTGCTGGTGTTGGTCCACTGTGTTTTATCAAGGGCAGGGTCAATGCATCTAGCTATCAGGAGATTTTGGAGCACTTCATGCTTCCATCTGCTGAAAAGCTTTATGAAGATGAAAATTTCATTTTTCAGCACGACCTGGCACCTGCTCACAGTGCCAAAACCACTGGTAAATGGTTTACTGACCATGGTATTACTGTGCTCAATTGGCCTGCCAACTCTCCTGACCTGAACCCATAGAGAACCTGTGGGATATTGTGAAGAGAAAGTTGAGAGACGCAAGACCCAACAGTCTGGATGAGCTTAAGGCCGCTATAGAAGCATCCTGGGCCTCCATAAAACCTCAGCAGTGCCACAGGCTGATTACCTCCATGCCACGCCGCATTGAAGCAGTCATTCATGCATAAGGATTCCCGACCAAGTATTGAGTGCATAACTGAACATGATTTTTTTTGAAGGTTGGCGTTTTTTGTATTAAAAACACTTGTCTTTCATTGGTGGGATGAAATATGCTAATTTTTTGGGACAGGCATTTTGGGTTTTCATGAGCTGTATGCCATATTCATCAGTATTAAAACAATTAAAGACCTGAAATATTTCAGTTGGTGTGCAATGAATCTGAAATATATGAAAGTTTCATTTTTATCATTACATTATGGAAAATAATGACCTTTATCACAATATGCTAATTTTTTGAGGACCTGTACTTCCAGTATTAAAGTGCTCAAATTCTGTTTCTAAACAAATATTGTTGAATCAAAGGTCTATTGAACCCATTTGAAGCTGTGTGCTGCTTCAGTCTGTTTAAATGTTGAAGGATTAAAAAAAAGGGGGAAAAAAGCATTTATTACAAAAACTGTTCTGTATGCTGATATAACCACACCTGCTGCACAAAATAAAGTTGAACAGTAACAAAATACAGCAGTATTGTGTAGTGAATCTTTGCGGTTGTTGCCACCATATTTAGCTCAATATTTGTAAAATTCACAAGTTTTGTGTGGCTCAAGTTAATTAGCTACAGGTTAATTAGCTACCCAGGCATTCTGCATTGGGTTGACTCTAAAACCATTTAAGTCCAATGATTTTGCTACGAAAATACAGAAATAAAATACAGATGCAGACCAGTGATTCAGTTAAAATTCTCTCATCTTTTATTGCCTTCACTTCTGTTCACAAGAACTTACCGAGCTTCAGTATTTGTGTGGTAGGATGGTACAACACTTCAGAATGCAGAAATAAAGACTGTGGTTAAACAGCTTTTACAACTTTTGGGAATAAACCATTTTTCATACTCAGGTTGAAGCAGCCACAGTTGGAGAAGTGAACTCAGATCCTAGTCACCAAACAGTATGTCAGTCTTCTCTCTATCTTCAGACAAATGAACATACAAATGAAGCGGGCATTTCACTGTAGTTGTGTCCTTTTGACAACTTTACCCTCTTTGTCAACAGCAAAGTTGTAATTTTTGGGATTATCCAAAGCGTCCTCAATTCGTTGATCCAGGTTTTCCAAGGTGATAAAGTTCTTTGCGTCCTCCTGTAAAGAGGTGAAAGCAGTTTTACCTTTTTTATCATGTTCAGCCTGCATTATATACTTTTTTTCCATTGTTTTTTTTATTACTTGCTACAAAAACAAACTTTTAAGTCAAGAGCTGGAGAAATTGCCACCTGTAGCTGCAGAATCTCTTCCTCTTTTTGTCTGATTAGCTCCTGCCGTTCCTGTTCACGTTGAAGGACAGCTTCCATCTTCTTGCGCCCAGCTTCTTCCTTTTCTTTATGCACTCTTGCCAATCTAAAACAGAAGAGTGCAATCAAATGACTCAGCAGGAGACTCAATTCTCACTGATGTTACAGGTGGTGTGCAAAAACATGTTCAAGAGCGGCGTTTGTTTTATTATTCAGTGGATTTTAACTGCTCTAAATGGCAGCATTTAACATTGTATTTAAGAGCAAACAGTTGCTGTAACCTTTTTAATGTTTTTAACAAACCACATTTGCTAGCATATATCTTAGATCCTTTTTTAAAATTACTTTGTATTTTGCGATCTTTGGGTGTAACTCAGACCCTGTGTACATATTTTCATTCCACCTCATGTACCACATGTGTTGGTAATGACAATAAAATTGACTTGAACTTTAATAAGCAGGAAAAAGTTGATAATTCTTTTTGATTTTATTTGTGTGAGCAGGAGCATTATCAGCTCAGGTGGGGCTGGATAAAAATCAGGATTTTATATAAGTGGAAACCTCTTAGGGCTTTTAACGTGGTTGTGAATAAAACAATTTTAATGTGCCACTTGTAGTCGCCATATCAGCCCCTTTTCTGACATGCCCTCGACGAAGACGGATGCTTTTCTTCCCTCTCCTGCCGTCCTCCTGCTTTTGCTCTATGTCCTGTATATCAGAGCCTCTCTTTACACATCTTCCAAATTGTAAATTATGGATCTGGTCAGCTGTTTGAATTCACCATTGAGTGAACCAGCAGAATTGAAGGCAGACATGAAATCAGTAGTGTCAGCCTGCCCAAAACAATGGTTGTTTATCTGAATTTGGCCTCCCCGCTTGCCTTGAATAGGTCAACTTATCTCAAATTGCTCCTGGTGGATACATAAATTAAGAAGCTCTGTTCTGCCTCCCCCCGCTCCCCACCTTTAAGCCACGCCCTCTGGGGTAAAGGCAAGCAGGATGTAGTCCATGCCTCACTGGGTCCATCCGAACTCAAAAGCGCATAACCAGAAACTGCTTAACACATGATCTGACTGATCCTTCTGTCATGACTACATGCAGTACAGTGTTTCCCCTAGTTAGCTTGCCATGGCGGGGTGCTCATCCCATCCATGATTTTTGCTAATGGGGGAGACGGAGACATGTCTGAGCGCAGCATGCACTAACAGTTTTTGAGTGGGGGCAGGGGGCGTTCAACATGAGGGAAGAGGCAATGTGAGTGCTGCCTTGGTTTTATTTTTAGCTAGAAAGCCTGTATATTGCGCCACTACTTTAGGGTGCATTCACACCAGCCCTGTTTAGTCCGCTTTAATCGAACTCTAGCTCGTTTTCCTAGAAAGTCCGGTTCGTTTGGGGAGGTGTGAACGCGCCATCGAACTCTGTCACGGAACAAAAAGGCGAACTCTGGCCCGGGCTAAAACCTAGGTCTCGGTCCGGTAGAAGCTAACTCCAGTGCGGTTCGAGTACAGTGTGAATGTAAACAGACCGAGCCCCGCTCCGCAGGGTAAACAAACACACATTTCTCTGACCTCATATGGAGCCGTCAGCTGCCTTGTGTGAAAACCATATTCTCCATGGTCTTCTGTCTCATCTTCTGCTCATGCCAAGTCCATTTTTGAAAAATGACAAAATATAACTCCTAAAACTGCTAAAACTTGATGCCACTTCGTTTTTATTTTTATTTACAGAAGAAGAAGAAGACGTGTCTTCAGAGGTTTTTGTGTTGTTTCTTTCAGTAGTTCTTGGTGCAGCGCCCCCACAGGCGAGCGGGGGAATAGGTTGGTTCAACAAGTTGACTCGACTGCACAGTGCAGTGTGAACGCAAACGCACCAGCTCAAATGTAAACAAAAGTTCATGAATATTGGTCCCGAACCGAGTCTACCAGACTATCTGGTGTGAAAACGACCATAGTGATATGTCAGTGTGAGGTGGGGGTGGGAGAAGCAAGTTCACTTTGGTAGGCGGGGTGCTCAGTTTTGTTGGCGGGGTGGGGCACCCCACCTGTTTAATGGTAGGGGAAACACTGCAGTTAACTCAAGCACCTGATAAATGCTGTAACAGACACATGTTCCTTATCACAACCTGAGAGTTCAGTATTCAGTTTACTCACGGTTTAGTATAAGAAGGAGAAAGAAAGATTGAGTACGACTGTGATGTCACTAGCTCTGAGAATCGAGCATGACAGAGACGACTTAGAGACATCACGCAGGAAAAAACGGATGAAAGAGGTCGGTGACGACCCAGAAGCCGCAGAACAGATGTCCTGTACAGACAACACCACCATGCAGCGCCATGGAGGTTGAAATCACTTCTGGCGAGCTGATGGACGGCAGCTCCCTCTGGCTTCTCTGCAGTCTTTTATCATCAAACTGACCCGTTTTTTTCTAACCGGACTAAAGTTGGTCCCCCTTCCAACCGAATTTGGTGTTCAGTGACTCAGAGAGCCGGACGGGACCGTCCAAAAATATATTTTGGTCCAGGACTGGCCGCTCCCACCCCACCGGTCACTCTGAGCGCACCCTGCCGGCCAGGTGACCCCTGGAGCTGGGGAGTCGTCGCACAAAGGTCCGGTGTTGTTCTCTCTCTCTCTGGACCTCAACAAACTCTCATCTGGACCTTTGTGGTTCTACCTGGTTCCGACAATAATCGACGGGTGGTATTTCGCTGGTTTTCTGCTGGACTGGCCCTCGTGGTGTCTTCATAGGTGTGGGGGAAATGTACCTGTGACCCTCGAACTGGATCAGAACCGAACCGAGGTGGCTGTGGGGGATTTCGTCTTCAACAGAGGCGTTCTCAGCTTCAGTGAGCAGCCCGTTACTTTTACCGAAGGACTGTCCACCTCCGTGGAATCGCTGTGTTCACCTGGAGGAGACGCTCCAATGCTTTGAAGTGCCGCCGGGCCGGACCGGAGCAGAACCGGGCCAGGGACATCTTCAGCCTCTTCGTCTCTCGTGCTGTGGAGCGCCGGAGCTGGACTGGAGCAGAACCGGACCGGACCAGTGTCGACTTCAGCCTCAGCCTCTCCGGTCAGTCTCGTTTTTCACCGGGGGTGCCTCTCGTGCTGTCGGGTGTGGAGGTGACATGCAGAGAAGCGGAGGAGCAGCGTGAAGGAGCAGGGCTGCGTGGTGCTCGAGAGAAGTTCGGAGTTTGTATCGGAGTTGCTGCAGGCCTCTATCCAAACTCACCTGGATAATAATTAATTTTATTCCGGATCACGCTGTTGGCCCCTGTTGACCTGAAATGAGCTAGGACCATGCCTTTCACTTCAGGAGGATTTTCTGGCAGCTCGCTCTGCTATTTGCTGCAAATTATGTTTCTGTTTCGGCCTGTTGATTCTGGACCCAGCTTCTGTTTCCCATGGGAGCATCCATCCATCCATCTTCGCAGGGGGGCTGGAGCCCACCTCAGCCCAACTCAAACTGCAGTTGGGCCACCTCGTCGGGTTTGTTTGCCCATTTGAACTGTGACGTTTTATGGTCTGAAACGTTTCTGCATCATTCATATTACTGTCACTATTTTCAGTTCTCAGATTATTTGGAGTCACTGAATCTTGTTAATACACCTGAATCTGCCCATCACTGCAAATTTCACTGTTTTTGGGTTCTGAATGATCACGTCTTCATTAATGTTTCTCATGGTTCGATTATGGGGGCTAATTGTCACACTGTGAACTCCTGTAATTACACATCAGTCACAAAAACTCAAGAAAATGTCTGATAATAATGTTGTTACTGCTCTCAGGGATTCAACCCAACCCTGGACCCCCCACTATTTATATGACACCAAATGACTTTAAAAACGTGTCTGGGCTTCATTTTCTGCATGTAAACGCTCGTAGCCTTCTGAGAAAACTTGATGCCTTGAAAATTCTGGTCAGTTTTTCAGGAGCAGATGTTATCTTCATCTCTGAAACATGGCTCAACAAATCTGTACTCAATAATGACCTGGCAATCAATGGACTTAACATCTACCGCTGTGATCGTCAGAAAAGAGAGGGGGGGGGGGTCGCTGTTTACATCAGAGATCTTTGGCTGCTAGTCTTGTGTCTTCTAAAACAATTCCAAACCAGTTTGAAGCCTTAGCTGTAGACATCACATTGAATGGAGGCCAGATCTTATCTGTAGTCTGCTGTTACCGCCCACCTTCAGCAACACCTGAGGCTCTGTCTGCCCTGATGGAATTTCTTGGTAATTTAAAATTCAAAGAGATCCTTTTGGCTGGAGACCTCAACATTGATTGGTGTAAGTCGACCCCCCTCTGTGATAAATTCAAGGAATGTTGCCTGTCTCTCAATCTGACCCAATTGATCGACTCTCCCACTAGATTAAACAAAAACCGTCCTGAAAAATCCTCCACCTTAGACCTGTTTCTAACTAATATGCCTCACAAATTCCCTGGTACAGGTGTATTTGTGTAGTGAACTTAATCTGAGGTCAAGACTAAGCCTAAGGTCAAAACTCTTGACCTTAAGAACCTTGTGGGACAGGAACTGTCATTTCGTTGATTTGAATCCAGAAATACAGGTTCACCCATCCTGAGACTTTCTTTCTTGAAAATTCAAGTGAAAGAACAATCTCTTTCTATTATCATTACTATTTTACAAATGTTGATAATCAAAGTGTCTTAGTTCAAACCATTTTAGATGTTGCAGTGAACTAATCAAGTTTATTAACTGTGTAATGATTTTTAATTCTCATGCAAAGTTAGAATTCATGTTGAGGTCTGTTACAGATTTTTATGCATTTTCTGATTTCTGCCTTTGAATGAGCAAGTGTGCGTTTCCAGGGTCAGGAGTTGAAGCAGACATGTGTTGGAACAACTGTCCTGTTTATATCCTCTCAGACGTCAACAGGGGGGTTTTGGCACCTGTTTCTTAAACTCGCCAAAACAAAACTCTCTCTGTCTGTGAGAACATTTCTGATCTGTTCCATAACAATTCTTGCTGCCTTCTAACCTTTTACGTCACAAAACACACCCCGTCTGGTCGGTTCTGGCCAATGGGGAGACTCCCGAATGAACCGGGAAAAGAGCTCTTTAAAATGTCGGTACTTCCTGGTCTACTGAGT